CACACACACACACACACACACACACACATTCAGACCCTAACACGGGCCACGACAGGTGAGCACGCCCAATCGGCGAAGTCAATGTGCGCTCCAGGTGGAGGTTGTCGGCGAAATCCGCATGCGCCCCCACTGTGCAGCGAACATGACCAGTGGCAATCTCCCGTAGCTCCCGTCTCCCTCCCCTTCGCAGGCTGACGCTAACAACAAAGCCAGGTCAGGAGAGCCCTGCAAAACCTCCATATCAGAGATCGAGGGGCATAACCCCCGATCAGTCTCATCAGGTATGGCGCAGTGTCAGGATCCCACCAGCCGATGGCCCCCACATATCACGCTCTCCTTCCTCCACCGAACCAGGAATCATGAGAAGGGTCAAGTGAGACCAGCAATGACCAGGAGCCTGTCACGGCTCCCTCACCGTGCCCCCTCACACCCCAGTGTTATTCCCGGCTCCGCCCCCCTAACACCCCAGTGTTCTTCCCTGCTCCGCCATGGTCACGCCAGCGCCAAGTTTTGACAATCAAAGCAGACAGGTTTCGTCGGCCCCGGAAGTGAGCGAACAGCGCCGGAACGCCACCCAAGCGGTAGCCTAGGAGTCATCTCTCCTTTCTTAATTTTGTGTTGGCCTGATTCTGCCCAGCGCCCGAACGCCGCCCAAGCGGTAGCCTGGGAGTCATCTCTCCTTTCTTACTTTTGTGTTGGCCTGATTCTTTTTCAAATCATTTTTGTATGACAATATTTGCGCCAACCGTACTGGACGGAATGCTCGGGGGGAGGGGAGTGGAAACCCCCCAAACGTCCAGGGGGCCAGCGCAAACTCTGGGCCCAGCAACCCCTTTTCGGGACCCTTTTTTCCCCCTCCACTAAACCACTAGATAAAGCACCTACCTGTAAATTTTCCTTATGATTTCGTTGAGCAGAAAAAAAAACAAAAATCGAAGGGGTTAAAATTTCTCTCTCTCTCTCTCTCTCTCTCTCTCTCTCTCTCTCTCTCTCTCTCTCTCTCTCTCTCTCTTTTGCTTGTTCCTTCTTTCCAACCTTCCCTCTCTTTCACGAACAAGGCAAGCAGACATGACAGCAGATCCCATAATATCAACTGCGCAAGACTAGAACCGAGGGGCGGAGCAGGACAGGTGTACACAACAAGCTTCCTTGCAAAGAATAGGTAATGTACATGATCAATTCCACAAATGAAGTCAGTCACTTCCGATGCGCAGGAAGTACAAGAGTACCCCCAAAATAACAGCAACATAAAACAATACAAACGAGACTGACACCTGGCCGCATTTTCGCGGAAAGCTAGCGCACTTGCTCCCTTTTCCACCTTCCTCCGTCTCTCTCTCTCTCTCTCTCTCCCCCCCCCCCGCTCTCTCTCTCTCCCTCTCTCTCTCTCTCTCTCTCTCTCTCTCTCTCTCTCTCTCTCTCTCTCTCTNCTCTCTCTCTCTCCCTCTCTCTCTCTCTCTCTCTCTCTCTCTCTCTCTCTCTCTCTCTCTCTCTCTCTTTCTCTTTTAACCCAGGAAAAATCCACAAGCTTTGGGGCATACTCACACGAGGACGTTTTTCTCTACTACGTAGGCTCTGGAGGTCATCACAGTCAGACGCATCTGGCCATAAATACAGTCAGGTACATTTTGGAAAGTGCGTTAGACTCAGGATCAGCACCTGTTCAACGGGAACCATGATCAAGACCTCCGTCTTTCTTCTTTTTTTTGTCTTTTTGTTTTTCCCTCCGTCATTTTATTCCTCCCACCTGAGCTGCTCGCATATCTGTAGTGTACACAAAGCTGGCGTCTTGAATTGCAGTTCCAACGGCTATGATCACGAGCAGACAGAACTAAACGGAACTAAACGGTTTCTCAAGCCCCAGAGGAGTTCATCCCTCACTCCAGAAGCCATCTCACCTATCCCGATCTAACGGTCTGTGCTTCTCTCTAATAACAATGCGTACCCCCCATGCCACGTCATCATCGTCCTCTTAAGGGATAAATTTCTATGACGCCATCTACAAATAGCAGGAAGTTGGTCGAGGTTGAAAAAAAAAAAAAGAGGAATGATGAGGGTGACAAAAAAAAAAAGAAAACGGATGATTATGGTGACGACATTGATAGGATCATTATGACAATTATGATGATGACCATCACGAGGGCTGATGGAGGCGGTGATGGTGATGATGAGGAGGAGGAGGCGGAGGAGGAGGAGGAAGCGGAGAAAGAGGAGGAGGAAGAGGAGGCGGAGGAGGAGGAGGAAGAGGAGGAGGAGGAGGAGGAGGAGGAGGGGAGGATGACGATGATGGCGATAATGATACTGATCGTGTAATCAACGACCACAGAAATGGGATGATGGACGAGGTGGTAATGATGAGAGGAGGAGGAGGAGGAGGAGGGTGGTGATAATGGTCCTGATCGTGCTATGAACGACCACAGAAACGGGCTGATGGGCGTGATGATGATGAGGAAGAGGATGCCGATGATGGTGATAATGATCTTGATCGTGTTATCAACGACCACCAAAACGGCCTGATGGAGGCGCTGGGGATGATGATGATGATGATGATGATGATGATGATGAGGAGGAGGAGGAGGAGGAGGAGGAGGAGGAGGAGAACGATGATAAAGATAATGATCCTGATCTTGTTATGAACGACAACAGAAACCATCGGGGTTTCACAAATTGAAACCCGTTGTTGAGATGCCTTTGATTACTGTTGAACAGGAAGAGGATTGAACCACTGACTCGACTGGAACAAGTAATCATCGACCAAGACAAGTAATCATCGACCAAGACACGAAGGGTGAATCAAAGCAAAGATCGAAATTGACGGCTCCGATCGAGGTTGGATGTAAAAAACCACCAAAAGAAAGAAAGGGGAAAACAAAAAACCACCAAAGCAAAACAGAAAACACTTGTTAACCAAATTACACAACATCATGGGGAGGAGAGAGGCGTCGCGGGACGACGTGGAGGGGGGGAGAGAGTTTATGGGGGGGGAGTGAAGGCATCTCTCCCTCCCTTCTAGATAAGTCTATTCCGGGCCGCTGTAGAATTGAGCACGGGTAGCTCTTGACAAGATTCGATGGCAATGGCAGCTCTTCTGCTGCTACCGTGCACTGCAAGAGTAGAGATATCCTTTCGATCTGAATGGCCCTCTCCCCTCCTAGCAGATGAGGGCTCTCCTCCACCGCCGTGAGAAGATCACTCACATCGATCGTTGCCGTACGAGTGTCGGGATCCCCATCAGCTCGTTCGGAAAGGGCCGTCGTCGCCTGCGCGCCATGTGTGGTGCTGCTACTACATTCTCCCGATCGTTGCCGTACGACTATCGGGATCCCTCGACGTGTCGTCCTCGCAGGCACAAGAGCAGGCGCGGGAAACACGGGAGGAAGAGGAACGTAATCCAACGGATCCGGCCTATGATGGTAGTAGCGATTGCGCGCCTGACGCCCACGGGGGGTACAATTGCCGCCCTCTCTCCCATTCCCCGCCCCCTCGTCGGCTTTCTCGCATCCACCCCCTTTGCTACGGCCACGAACGTCTTCTTCCATTGCGGTCAAACTCGGCCCATCCGGACGACCGAATCCCCCCCTTACTGCTACTGTTCCTCTGCCGTCGACATCTCCCAACGACCCTCCTCCTCCTCCTGATCGACTGTCAGGATCTCCCTCACAGCACGCTCGGGGTGGTCGCTCCATCTCCATCCCCTCCCCCTCCCCCCCCTCCCCCTCTTCCTCCTCCCTGTAGCGTCTCTCGCGCGCACGCTGAACGCAACTAGCCATTATAGCCCTAAGGTAGTGCTCGACCGCTTTGGTCATCACAAGCACACTCTCCTTGGTCACGCCTTGCAAGCCCCCGGACTGAGCAAACCCCTGCATTCTTGTCTCTAGCGAGGCCACGTCAGGAAGCTCTCCAGAAGCGCAAGATCCATCCAACGCCAAGTCAGAGACGACGCCACGTGGACGGGGAAGCCTTGCGCCGCCGGGACTAGCCGAGCAGAACGGCAGGCCTAACGGGGGTCTCGTGGGTTCTGAGAACGGACACGTCAGCGCATCCCCTCCCTCCTCTTCCACTCCCTTTCCCACTCCTGCTCCTCCACGGGGCGATTCCGCTTCAGCCACCCCGTCTCCGACGACTGCACGTAGTCCAACTACTGCGACAGGTGCTGCTGCAGCCTCCCTCACCTCCTGCTGCTCCTCCTCCTCCTCCTCCTCCTCCTCCTCCTCTCCCACCCCGCTTGCCTGTGCAACCTCCTCCTCCTCCTTCTCTTGCACCTCCTCACCCGTCTGCACTGCTCTTCCCCCGAACCCCACCCCCTCCTTCCTTCTCTCTCTTTGTTGGTCGATCGCCGCATATCCTTCCTCCCGGATCGACCGCCCATCAGTTACGTTTTTCACGGCCGGTGACGTGTCAATCGCTGAACCTGGCTGGTGCGTCGACGACGCTACACGTGGCCTTCCGTCGCCCCCACGCAGCTGCCCATTCGACTTCTTCGCATCCAGCGGATCCCGGACAGGGGAGCTGTTGTTCTCGACCGCGTGCGCGCGCGGTTCTCTCTCCCGACCCACCTTGCTGCGTTTCCAAGGAGGCAATGGTCCATCCTCCGACGACGCCAGATCCGTTGCCTGCTCTCTCGCGCTGGCCCTCTTTGTGTCGGCTACTCCTGCCGGCGATGACGCCGCAACCGCCGGGTAATTGTTACAGTGGCCATTAGCCACGGTAATCGACGGTGCTACGCAGTTGTCTTCCGACCCCAGAACCTCTCCTCCCTCTCCCCCCCCCCTTGCTCTTCCTATTCCTCCTCCTCCTCCTCCTCTGCTACCGCTATCGGGACCCCCGATGCCGGCAACACCAGTGTCAAAGGGAATGCCATTTCCGTCTGCAGGGGTCGAACGACCGCTCCCGTCCAATCTTCCAGAAGATGGCTGGTCCCTCCTTTTCCTTCGCTTCGCTGGGTCGCGGGTGCGACTCAAGGAAGATCGCTGACCTTGGCTTGCAAACTTTCGCGGGGAAGCCCCTCCCCCTCCCACTCCTTCCCCATTGATCCTGCTGCTGTTGTTCTGGCCCCCACTGGACGACGCCGGACTGCTCCTCGAAGCCGTCTCGATAGAGGGTTCGCGCTCACTCTCGCCTCGGGCCGACCCTCCTCCTCCTCCTCCTCCTCCTCCTCCTCCTCCACCCACTGGTGCGGCGGAGGATCTGCTCGGCCCCCCCCAGTTTCCGACCCCCACCGCCGCACATTTCGCTTTTCCCGCTGCTCCCCCGCCCGACCGCCTTCCCCCTCCAATCTCGCCGCCGGCTGCCCATCTTGTCCCCGACACGATCCCGTTCTCGCGTACACCACCACCCCTCGCCGCTTCTACCCCCTCATCTATCTCTTGTGCCTGATAGCCAGCTGTCGCCGCAGCTGCGACCTCCTCTTGCTGGCACTCTCCCCCCGCACCTCCGTCCCTCTGCGCGGCCCCAGCCAGTGGCGCTCCCGCCCCATCATCCGCCGCCCCTCTCGCCGCCGCGCCCTCCTCTCCCGCTTCTTTCCCGAGAAACGCATTCGCATAGATCGCCCTGATGAAGTCATTATGCAGCTTCACGTTCTCTCTCCCGATGCACGCGGTCACCAGAGCGTCCAATTCATTCTTCTTGAGCTTGCAGTTCAGAAATTTGGTCAGTATGCTCCAATACTCCGCTAATTTCGGACCCAAAATGGATGCGAAGTGGTCTTTCACTTCGGCGAGATTGTACCTCTTGATTGCACTGCGACTCATTGGTATCCCGATCGGCCGGTTGTGCGCCCATAAAACGACGACCGGCGGGGAAACGCGCTTGGCCCGAGTGCCTCCTGTCAACCTCAGGGGCAGACCGAGGTCGCGCGATGGCTGCTGCTGCTTCTTCCTCCTCTTCTCCGCAGTTCTCCGACGGATTTCCTTCCCCGACGACGACGAGGATGATGGGGAAGATGATGAAGACGAAGACGATGAAGACGATGACGTTGCCGGTGCTGCTGCTGCTGCTCCTTCTGGTCCTTCTGCTGCTGCTGCTGCTCCTTTTCCTCCTCCTCCTCCTCCACTACTCCGGGCATGGTGGTGGACGTTGTCCGCATCGCCCACGCCATCTTCTAATCGACGCGAATGACGTGGATTCCTCGTGGACCCTGACATCAACATTAGGATTTATGTGCTCCCGCCACGTGGCACAAGCTCGCCCATCCGCATCGGCAAACCTCGTCCTCTCGTCCCTTCTCCTTCTTCTCCCCCCTCTTCCCCCTCTTCCTCCTCCTCCTCCTCCTCCTCCTCTTCGTGCCCCTTCTCCTCCCCCTCTTTGTCCTCCTTCCCCCTTCTTCTCGATCGATCTGGAAGCGTCTCCTCCCCTTTTTCTCCTTGTTCGGGAAGCCATTCACTACACCTTTCTCTTCCCTCCCTTCTGTCTCTTCTCTAAATCAGTCTGTGGAAGATTATGAGGACCTCGTCCCGCCACTCGCCGACTGTGAAAACGACGAACACGATGGCGCGGGTCTGTTTCCACATTCTAATCCTGCCGTGAGCGAATTAAAAAAAAAAAAAAAAAAAAAAAAAAGGCAAAAAAGGCGCGCTACTCGTAATGGCCCCCTTTCCTCCTCTCATCACTGAGCCCTCCTCTCCTCGTCCATCACAAGAAAGGACTTATTGCCCTCAGAGCTAGCTACCCTTTGGCCATACTCACACTGCTACCGCTTTCCTTAACGTATCTGACAGCAATCACCGCCCAACCTGAAGGAACCACATACCGCAATCACTACCACAGCGTAGAAGACTAAGTCCTGAGTGTGAGTGTGTGTGTGCGATTAGCTTGCCGCGTATCCCCTTTGGACTCTCCTCCCCTTGCTCATCTTCTCCGACCCAACACAGCCGTGATTCAGGGCATCGCCAACACCACTCTCGAAAAGTGCAAAATGCGAATGAACCCCTCCCAGAACATGGCCAGATGCACCCGCCACATTTTTGTCTTTTCAACATTTCGAGAGTGGTGTGGCGAGGCCCTCAAGAGGAAGACTCCTCACCGCCGGGGCCTTCGCTTTCGACAAGTTCTTTTTTTTTTGTTGGGGGGGGGGGAGCGCGGAGGAAATTCGACCAGTTCGTCTACGTTATGTATTTCTATTTCTATATATTTTGACTATATTGATATGTGTATGTATATATATATTATTATGTTTGACGATATATATATCGTCAAACAGAGAGCTGCCCAGTAAACCGTAGGCAGAGAGGGAGAAGAGGACAACAAAGGAGGGGCTGTGACAAACTGTTTCGTCGGAGTTTCACCGAGACTCATCAGGAGGCTGAACCCTCATATATATATCGTCAAACAGAGAAGGGGCTGAATTATAGTATGTATACATGATACATATACGATTTACTATACAATGTCAATCGCCTTTTGCACGTAATGTCCGGTCATCAACCCACGACGTGCAAGTAGAGGCAAGGGATATTGTGCGACCCCATGTGCGACAGGGATAAGGACACGTGGCGACGCGTGAGCATGTTGGCTGTAAGCCTGCACAAACAAATGACCTTCCCTTCGAATTTATTCCTGCATGCTTGACAGGCGCTTTCTCTTTTGTTGCTCTCGTCATCTGCTTCTCGTGGATTCGAACGCGGGTC